AACGACGAGAATTGAATTCGAGTATGAACGACGAGAATTCGAGTATGAACGACGAGAATTCGAGTATGAACGACGAGAATTCGAGTATGAACGACGAGAATTCGAGTATGAACGACGAGAATTCGAGTATGAACGACGAGAATTCGAGTATGAACGACGAGAATTCGAGTATGAACGACGAGAATTCGAGTATGAACGACGAGAATTCGAGTATGAACGACGAGAATTCGAGTATGAACGACGAGAATTCGAGTATGAACGACGAAAACTCGAGTATAAACGACGAGAATTCGAATACGAACGACGAGAATTCGAGTACTAACAACAAGAATTCGTGTATGAACGACGGGGAATTCGTGGATCAACGAAGAGTATTTCTTCATCAGCGAGAGGTATCCGGTCATCAGCGTCAAGTGTCCGTTCATCAGCGACAAGTATCTGTTGATCAATATGCCGCTGTCGTTTAAATGTCTGTTCGTAAATAATGTACAACAAAATCACTGAAATCTTTCTACACATTTAGCTGCAGAAGAAAGGAAGGAAACAAAACGGTGGAGCACCACGATGAGCGCAGTAAAACGCTCCGAAATCAGCGAGGAAGTCGCTCATTGGATTTCATCATACTTCGAGAATTCCTGGATAAGGGACATAAACTCGTGGACAACTGACACGACGAGAATTCGTCTCTGAACTACAAGGCTTCGTGTATGAACAACGAGAATTCGAGTATAGAACGACGAGAATTCAAGTATGAACGTCGAGAATTCGAATATAGAACGACGAGAATTCGAGTATGAAGGACGAGAATTCGAGTATAGAACGACGAGAATTCGAGTATGAACGACGAGAATTCGAGTATGAACGACGAGAATTCGAGTATAAACGACGAGAATTCGAGTATGAACGACGAGAATTCGAGTACTAACAACAAGAATTCGTGTACGAACGACGGGGAATTCGTGGATCAACGAAGAGTATTTCTTCATCAGCGAGAGGTATCCGTTCATCAACTACAAGTATCCGTTCATCAACGAAAAGTATCTGTGAATGAATGGCCAATGCATGTGGCCGAATGGGGACAATCCGTGGTCAAATGGGAAGTATTTGTGCTCAAATTTCGAGAATTCGTGGATAAATCTCCAGAATTCCTGTATAAATGGAGAGATTTTTTAGATAAATTACGAAAAGTCTTGAACAAATGACGACAAATCTTTGATAAATGACGACAGAGCTTTAATAAATGACGAGAATGTGGTTAAATTGCGAGAATCCATGGTCAGATGTCGAGAATCCATCGATCAACGACGAGTATCCTTTCATCAACGACAAGTAACCGTCGATCAACTACAAGTATCCGTCGATAAACAACGAGTATCCGTTCATCAACGACAAGTATCCCTTCATCAACGAAAAGTACCTGCGAATGAATGGCCAATGTATGTGGCCGAATGGGGACAATCCGTGGTCAAATGGGAAGTATTTGTGCTCAAATTTCGAGAATTCGTGGATAAATCTCCAGAATTCCTGTATAAATGGAGAGATTTTTTAGATAAATTATGACAATTCTTGAACAAATGACGACAAATCTTTGATAAATGACGACAGAGCTTTAATAAATGACGAGAATGTGGTTAAATTGCGAGAATCCATGGTCAGATGTCGAGAATCCATCGATCAACGACGAGTATCCTTTCATCAACGACAAGTAACCGTCGATCAACTACAAGTATCCGTCGATAAACAACGAGTATCCGTTCATCAACGACAAGTATCCCTTCATCAACGAAAAGTACCTGCGAATGAATGGCCAATGTTAAGTATCTGTGGATGAATGGCAAGTACGTGTGGTCGAATGGTGACAATTCGCGGTCAAATGGGGAGAATTTGTGCACAAATTTCCAAAATTCGTGGACAAATCTTCAGAATTCGTGTATGAATGGCTAGATCTTTTAGATAAATTATGACAATTCTTGAACAAATGACGACAAATCTTTGATAAATGACGACAGAGCTTTAATAAATGACGAGAATGTGGTTAAATTGCGAGAATCCATGGTCAGATGTCGAGAATCCATCGATCAACGACGAGTATCCTTTCATCAACGACAAGCAACCGTCGATCAACTACAAGTATCCGTCGATAAACAACGAGTATCCGTTCATCAACGACAAGTATCCGTTCAACAACTACAAGTAACCGTTCATCAACGACGAGTAGTCGTTCATCAAAGACGAGTATCCGTTCATCAACAATAAGTATCTGTGGATGAATGGCAAGTACGTGTGGTCGAATGGTGACAATTCGCGGTCAAATGGGGAGAATTTGTGCACAAATTTCCAAAATTCGTGGACAAATCTTCAGAATTCGTGTATGAATGGCTAGATCTTTTAGATAAATTATGACAATTCTTGAACAAATGACGACAAATCTTTGATAAATGACGACAGAGCTTTAATAAATGACGAGAATGTGGTTAAATTGCGAGAATCCATGGTCAGATGTCGAGAATCCATCGATCAACGACGAGTATCCTTTCATCAACGACAAGCAACCGTCGATCAACTACAAGTATCCGTCGATAAACAACGAGTATCCGTTCATCAACGACAAGTATCCGTTCAACAACTACAAGTAACCGTTCATCAACGACGAGTAGTCGTTCATCAAAGACGAGTATCCGTTCATCAACAATAAGTATCTGTGGATGAATGGCAAGTACGTGTGGTCGAATGGTGACAATTCGCGGTCAAATGGGGAGAATTTGTGCACAAATTTCCAAAATTCGTGGACAAATCTTCAGAATTCGTGTATGAATGGCTAGATCTTTTAGATAAATTATGACAATTCTTGAACAAATGACGACAAATCTTTGATAAATGACGAGAATGTGTGGTTAAATTGCGAGAATCCATGGTTGGATGTCGAGAATCCGCTTTCAAATGCGAGTATCCGTTGCCAAACGGCGAGAATGCAGTTATAGATATAAGCTATTGGTATGTGTGGCGGATCGGTATCAACAGGACGCCGACAGGTCGAGGCATCAACGCGGTCGTAACACTTCCTGGGCGATCCGCGGTACCAACCGCCAACACCAGAGGGATACTGCGACAACAACGAGTCTGTCTGTCTCGCTAGCGGTTGAATATACGGTGTCACGATACAAATACCGCATCTAGCGAGACTCCCTCTACGTCTAAGGCAGGGACTACCGGGCATAGCCTTACTGACGAGTCCACCGGTAGTCCCGAGACGAAACGCGAATTCTCTTTTTACCTAGCTCAAACTACACTTTCACCAAAAATACAATGAGTACAAAGAAAAGACTATCTTAAGCTCAAATGACAAACAAAATCAGTAATAGCAAATAATAACAACTGTTATATCCGTAATCTTGTCATAAAACATAATCCATCCATCGATCAAGATAGCCACCAGCTGCCAAGACATATCAACTCAGGCCCATAATAATCCTAAGGAATCGCCACAAAATTTAGTGTTTTTTACAGTCCATTGTTACAAACATTTTAAAAGTGGAGAAATTCCTTAGGGTTATTGCTTATTGCGATAAAACATGGGAAAAGCTTTCCCAACTCTACTCTCGAGTAACCGTTGGTGGAGAACGGTCCATACTCATCAATATTTTCACATAAATATCGCCATCACAGGCCATATTCTTACTTGCTATTGTCCTTTCGATTAGAATACATCTCAGTTTGTTAGTCAATTAGTCGATATCTAAACTTGTTATCTCTAAAACTCAGATAGAAAGCATCTCACTCAGAGCGTTTTGTGTAATGTTGTTATAAAAGGAAAAGTAACGCATATCAAAGTTGACAATAATTTTGTATTCCATACATGGTATTATTCTGTGATTACCCTAGAAATGTCAAGATTTTTCAAAAAAAAATTATAAAAAAAGAATAACGGACATAGAAGAAGACAGTTCAGTGTGCGATGAACAAGAAACTTCAGCAACTGAAAACGGCATGAAAACACATGAAGAGCTATTTACAACCGAATCAGAGTTGAACATTATAAATAAGCCTTTACGTAAGGGCAAAAAGGAAAGAAATTATCGTTGACAGCAGAGAATGAGACTGGGCCCGATGGAACAGTTTGGAAAGAAATAGATGCAAGTCCCAAACCTGGCAGGACATCAGTGCATAATATTTTTAGAGATATGCTAAACGTATATAATGAAAGGATAAGTAAAGACGGTATTTTATATTATCGTTGATCACCGTATAAGGGATCATATAATAAAATGTAAGGAAGAAGAAGCATTTAGAGTATTGGGAACTAAGAGGGAGCTAGATGCAACAAAACTAGGTGCATTTATTACTCTGCTATATGCCCGCGGTGCATATCAGGCAAAAAGTTTAGATATTTCATATTTGTGGAATAAAATTTGGACACCTGCATTTTTTTCAAAAACAATGACTTTGCTGAAGTTATGAGATTTATACGATTTAATAAGAAGAGCGAAAGAAGTCAACGTTTATAAACCAATAAATTTGCAATGGTATCTACAGTATGGGGCCAATTTGTCGAGAATTCACAAAATTGTTATAAATCTGGTGCATACATTATAAAGAATCACAGGAAAAAACCATGCAATAAAACTATCAACAAGTTCAGATTCATTACTACAAAAAACTTGTCAAGTAAAAAATTGTAAAGGTTAAAAAATTACGAAAATTTGTTTAAGATGCGGGAAATATTTATGCGGCAAATCTACAATTGATAATAAGATAGTCTGTAAAAAAATGCAGCGAACTTGAATAAGAAATTTTATGGAAGTTCATAATTTTATATACATTTAGTTATAAATTAACCGTTATCTAAGTTAAATCATAAAAACTATTACTTCTTTAATCACCGGTCATTTTGACCGCACACGGTAGGAATAGGTAGACACGAAATGTCGGTAGGTTTAGTGTTAATTACGTACGATTTAGAGATTTTTCTTACTGTCGAGACCCTTAATTTATACAATACATACTGAAAATTGGGTCACTTCTTAGAGTTATTGCTCATTACGGTGAAATATGGTATAAGAGGTACTCAATGACCGCTTCCACCGGCAAGTGACCTTTGGTGGGGGGCAGCGACCATATATCTCTGGTTTTCCTTCCCGACATCATCGTCAAAGAATAACTCTTCGCTAAAAACACTTTCTACATTTATCACACGTAACATTCGTAAACATTTATGTAGTATCGGGGAGAAGGGCCCAAGAATCGTCGAGCTAACTACGGACAATGTCGCGAGAGCCGAGGCGCTGTCGGCTCCATCAATGCATTACCTGGTCCTTCAGGTAAATTGCTTTGCCGAAAAGACCTACGTGACCCTGACTACGAGCGTCTGTAGAACACGTGTGCGGTGGGCCTAGCAAAAAACAATAGTGTGCTAAAACGGCCAGAGAGAGGCAGTCGAGAAGCAGAGTGCGAGCTGAGCGGATACGGAGTGTGAGTCGACGTGTGACGATATTGTAGTCTGTCCTTTTGTTATTAAATATCACTTATTAAAATACCTTAAACTTTAAACTCTACCATCATCACTTGTCCTTACTCTAAAAAACCATCAGTTACTACATTTATATTCTTCAAAGATTGTTGAAAAGGAATAGTCATATTGTAATTGATAACTCAGTATTAAGCAATATTGTAATTGTTAACGCAGTATTAAGCGATATTGTAATTGCTAACTCAGTGTAAATATCATTCAAACCACCCCTATTATTTTAACCGAAATAGGCAATCGGCTGATTCGTGGCGTGAATCGAGTCGAAAAATTACGATTGTTGTTGACGCGCTATACTGCGAACGCGTCTCCCCGCGAATACAGTCGAACAAAATCTTTCAGGGATAATCTACGAATATTATTATAAACACACCTTAGAAAATAATCGTAAATGCTGCTTTATAATCATATAATTGAAGTTAGAAGTGTGCACATACCTTACTTTTATATATATTATACAATGAGCAAGTACTGTTTACTAATATTTTCTACACGTTTCAACAATATACCATATTCTGGACGTTTTGCTTACGACGAAATAACGAATGCGAATGGTTTGTTGAAATAAATAAAGTCTTGTTATAATATGTCGCTATCAACTGTTAACAAGGCGCCACGGTGATCACCCGTGACCACGAACAAGATAAACGGTCCATTGGGGAAGAATGTTATCTTATATCATCAATTTATTATTATTTTGCCATTATATAAAAATACTCCCGTGGCGTCCTGAGCGAAACATGTGATTTCGGCGTGGCAATCAAAGTGTGAATATCTATAATTGACTAAACTGCAACCGTAAACATCCAATACCCGAAAATAGTAGAAAATAAAATTATCCGTAATAAATACTATTACTACTAGAAACGCGTTGAAATTTCATCACAGATCAATACACAAAATTCTCTTTTAAAGAAGGAAGTAGATCGAGATACGAAGTTAGTATATATATACTACTACAGTCGGGGACATAAGAGAAGAAGAATAAAAGAGGGATGAAAAGCGAAACAGCAGCCGCTGAGTGGAAGTCGCATACGAAGCTCTGGGTAACTTATCACTTTCCCTTAATCCGGATCAGCGGGACGACGGAACACCGGGCGATGTTCAGGCTTGCACCGTTAAATATTCAGAAGAAGTCTGGCCCGGTGTAAATCAGAGAGGCAAACCGCCCTCTCTGCCAACCCCTTCTTGGCTCTCCGATGCATTGCTCCCACGTGGATGCTTCGATACACATACATACATTCGACTATACGACTCATCCCAACATGCTCTTTTTCGACGTGGACGGGCCAATGAGATTTAACTACCATTCTTTGTTATTTACACCCGCTGTCCACCGTGAAAAAGAGAAGGGCCGTGAACAAAGCGCGCGCTATTCGAATAAAAGTGAGGTCGTTTAATGTGGCCCCCGAGTAATTGTTTAGTTCCATTGCCGAGAGAATGGAGCTACGAGATTTTGGAGCGATGGTGTCTTGGAAAGAAAGAGAAGGATAGATTATTTCTATGGAAAAGTTAGGTTAAGGTTAAACCACCTGACTATCCCGTTCAACGAAGAACTGTGAAAATGCCGATTATAAAATTGTACAAATTGTTAAAAAACTAAAACTAGGAAAATAAAACTTTTAGATATACGTAATATAGTAAAAAGCTATTTTCCACATTTCGGTTTACCTATAAACGCACAAGCGTTTCTCGGTCTAATCACCACGACGGTCGGACGAGCGACGAATTCTTCGTGTTATTCTTAAGGGGTGGCATGACGGAGAGCAGAACAGAAAGGAGGGGGGAAAGGCGAGTCTCTTATTGGGATCCAAGAAATATATGGGCGGAAATAAGCCCCTGGCATCGTCAAGATGAAAGGACGATAAAGGCAGGTCGAGTGACCGGAGGCATGCAAATTGATAGTAATAGCTATCCTCCACTGTCTCTCTACCTTCGAGTCCCTTTTCCATGTTCTTTAGAGGATTCCCCCCTCGTGCCACATCCTTGGAATCCTCGCGTGC